ATCACTCATTTGTCTGCGGCTTGCATTGTTTATCCTTTGCAGATGCGCAGCGCGTGTTCATGCCACTAACTTCTACTTTTCAGCATAGTCTGCTCATTTCTGTTTCATTCTGTTGACGGTGCTGCTTTGCCGCGCTTGCCGCAGTTGTTGCTTTAACGTGTTGTCAAATGTGACAAAATTAAGTTAACTGCCAGCATTATCGCGCATACGACAACAAAAACTTTAGCCCACCTTTTTGCCCCGTAAATTGTGTGAGCGCTAACTCGATTTGACTTGAATTTATTTTTATTTATGAATTTTGTCCGCGAAATAGTTGGCTTTTTACGAAATTGCCTTTTGAAAAAAAGCTGATTTTGCGCCATTTTTAATTTACTTAATTCATTGTAGCTAATATAAGCAATTCAATCATAAATATTGCTGCACAAGAGCCAAGTTGAAAATGTTTAAAACTAATCAATTTTATTATCACGTTATGTACAAATTGTTTGACAAATTTGTTGCAGTTCGGATAGCACAAATAAGTTAATAAACGAATGGTATATTTGAAAGGAATTTTATGTTGCTGAATTTGAGTTTTTGTGCCCTGCAAGAAATGGAATAAATCATGTAATCAAACAATCAGTGAGTGACAATATTTATACCTAAAAATTATTGAAATTTCTAGGGAATTCAAGCTGTCAATTGCGAGCTGAAATTGAAATTGAAAGAGGAAAATATGACATAAAGTAGTTTGTTGCAGATTGAACTAAATTATATATAAAAGAATTTTTATATATAAAAGAGCACAAGAGTCGATTGATACACTTAGCTTGGCTAGCAGTGCTTCAGCAAAAGATATTTAATAATTTAATGCCAAATTATATTGAATACTTCAGCAACTGCATGTAGAAGATTTTTCAAACTCTTGTTCTATTATAGTTATAGAAAATAGTATCAGCCTTGCTGGCTTACAGCAAGCGCAATTGAATCTGGATGCAAAGTGCTGCTGGAGGCTCAGTTAAGTTTGTAAATCAATCGATCAGTCAGTTCGTCAGGCTATGTAAATCAATTCTCTATGTAGATCAATTTGGAAACTGTCGATAAGTGCTTGCTGCGGCTGGCATAAATGCGTTGATGCAACTAAATGTGGCACAGACACAATGTGACAAACGCTCATGTTGAATGCTCCCAATTTGTCTATCTGCGCATTGCATAATTTACGCTTGAATTCGATTGAATTGATTTCGTATGCACTGGGCCGACCCAGTGTGCTGCACTACCAAATCAACAGTTGCAAATGTCATGCAGACACGCACGCATAAAATCAACAAGTCAGCACCGCCGTCAACTATGCGGGCCTCAGCGCGGTTGCCCTCTTTGCCATCGCGGTCATGCGCCACTGCATCGATAATAACAATTCAAAATGTGCATATTGTGCAAAATGCATATTAACACACTCACACACACACACGTACATATACATATACACACTTACCACATTCATGCATACATTCATGAGAATAAGTTGTCTAATCCCATTTAATCCCACAACTTTATGAATTCGTTTGCTCTAATTTCTCCACAGAAATGTTCGAAAATATGTGTATGCGCTATTGTTCTCTAACATTTTAATGATAATTAAATATGTTTTCAAAAATATTTCGCTTTTGCTAATAACAATGTGCGATTAATGTCAAAATTAACCTCAATCAAAATGCAGCCAATGTTGCGTATACGTAATTTGCTTATTTAATTATGGCACTTGCAATATTGAAAGCATTTTCAAATCAAAATGAATTGCTGCGTTGCAGCTCTCTGATTGACCCTTTGCAGCATTAGCCTTTGTGACCACTTAAGCGAGTCAAAGGAAGCACTTTGATCCGGTCATCAGCTGCGACTGACACTGAGCAGCCACAGCAACATATGTATCGGAGTTACTTTCTATCTCCCTCGCTCTCTCTCTCTCTCTCTGTCTCTCTTTCTCTTTACGTATCTGTGTGGTCACTAAGCAATAACCCCCGAGTACCTAAGCACTTAAAGCAGTCACATTATCGCTTTGCCGTTCGCTATTGATGCACTGATTGATAGCTTACGCACACACATAGATACCCACACACACACATATACACACACCGATTCACTCACACGATATACACGTTAATTTAGCTGGTCCTTTGAGCTCGTTGGCTGTTCCAATAATTAAACAATCATTTAGCCATTCGAGCAGCAGCCTCTCGTGTCACTTCATTCAATATCCTTTACCAGCTCGAACGCAGCAACATTTTGGCAAATGTGGAAATTGAAAATTAACTCGAGTATAGAGGAGCAGTACATTCTAGTTGCAGTAGTCAAGTAATGACTGGGTTAACGTCGAATATTTGATCCTTAATTTATTAGAGCTGACGTTGGCAGAAGACTTGAGACTTGATTTAATCCAAAGACAAATGAAAGCTGTAGTCTATGGCCAGGATGTGACTATAGCATTGTCATTACCCAATGGTGCTAATTACGAGTTTGTTTAACTTGGCGTAAGTCCTCGGAATTTTACATAGAAATATAATTAAATTCAGTGCTTTGGAGAGCTTAAGTCAATGAGAATATTCAGCATCATCTGAGTATTATTTCTAGCTCTTCTACTTCACGTTTCACGCTTAACAAGTTCATTAAACCTATCAAGAGTTTTTGGCAAAGAGATCGTTAGATAAGCAATTCAGTATCGATCTAGCTGATGCACCTCAATTAGGCTTCGAAACAGATGGCCGGCTGTAAAGCTGGTTGATTTCAGCCCAGCCCAGCACAAAGTGAACTAAGACCCATGATGGGGTTGTGTTGCAGTTTCCCAAACGTTTTCAATTGGAGCTCAGCACACGGCTGCGGCTGTGGCTGCTGCCAATTTCAAAGCAATCGCCGGCAGCAGCTTCGTTTTTTGCCAATGCTTTTGGGTTACTTTTTTCGTGCCACTGTGCCGGAAGTGCAACAGATAGAGATAGAGAGAGAGAGTGCGAGGGCAAGGGCGAGGGCGAGCAAGTCGAATGATGACTGCGGATCGTTCGTTTGCCATACAAATCAATTTATGGCTGACCAACGTTTAAACAATTTTCGTGCCGCTTTGTGCAATTGACGTGCCGATAATTACGCCTGGCTAGCATGTACGAGTGCGTTTCGTACAAGAGCGAGAGCAGAAAAGGAAAACGAAAATTGCCTGTCCCTAAAACCAAACCAAACCAAACGAAAAGGAACAAAAAAAACAGCTTACACATAAAAAGAGCATAGTCGTAGTAACTTAGTTGACGGTGCTGAAAATCTAAGAAAATCCAAGCTGCAAAGTCAATTTTCTTGTTTATTTAAATATCAAAGTGAAAGAAATGCGCTGCTTTGGGAAGCATAAACTGGATTAAATTTCGTTTAAAATGTAAATGGGTAGAAAGGTGATAGAGAAAGCGCCGCTGAATTATGGCCAAAATGTCGCCTTATGCGCTACATCAAAAACTAAACAAACACCTCATCAAAAACATCAAAGACGGCGCACACGACTCGTTGTTGTTGCAGCCTAAACAGCCTCTAAAAGGGCAGGCATGAAGATAAATACAGGAGGGCCAAAAAAAAAGAAAGAATTGGCAAGGAAAAGCATTTTCTTGTGCAGAACGCAGAAAATAAAATCAAGAATTTCACACCTTATCAATTTTGTTAGATTATCAAAACCGAAGAATGGCGTCAGGCTGCCAGGCAGCCAGCCAGCCAGCTCGTGTTCTATAGGGGGGGAAGCCAAAAAGCTCTTAAATTGCATCATCAACTTGTGGCGCTGTGTCCTCTGCCCTTTGTCCCTGCCATCGGGCTGGCGCTGATGCTGATGGCATTGATGACGTTGTCCTCTGCTATCGTCGTCTCCGTGGTCGTCGTGATTGTTGTCATCATCATCGTTGCCACACTGTCATTAAGGAAGTCAAAAACTTAGACCCCAAAACTGCGGGGCTGGCAGCTCAGGAAGGGGCTATTGCTTGCTGCTTGCTTTGTGTGACAGCAGCGTTGACATTTATTTTGATTTCAGGTCGAGTGCAACCAGGGAGTGCCACCCGAGCTGGGAGCCGGTTTGTAAGTGCGTGCTCCCCTACCTACAAACCCCAAGCCTCAGAGCCAACCACTCAGATCTCTGTCTACCGTTAACCTGTAGTCGTGCTCATGCTAATGTGCATTCAGCTTAGCTGCGTAAAAACCTTTGCGATGAGGGTTGCTGCCCTTTTTTTGTGACTTAGCCCAGTTCCGAGTTGTTGTTGTTGTCGTCATGGCATAAAAGCCACTAAATTGAATTTTATGTGACAGTGCCAAGTTTGATGTGTGCGTTTATTAATGGCGGCTGCTGCTGCTGCTGCTGGGAAGCTCGTCCGGGAGTAATGATAGCGAAGCGAACTTAGCTCAAATAATTGATAGCTTTTTACACAGCGTCTGAGCCGCGCGGGGGGAATGCTTGGCGTAATTGCAAGCCGTACACTTAAATGCTATGAAATATGGTTAACAAAAGTATTTCGCGAATGCCTTTTGTCCGCTACGTTTGCCAATGCCAGCAATGTGCAGGCTCAGCTCTGCTCCGCTCCGTCTGTCTGTCTGTCCGCCGAAGGGCCCAGTGCATGCTCTGCATAACTTGTAGCAGCAACTAGACGAGCATATGTAAAAAATGCCAGAGCACACACTCACACATAGTTGTGGCCGCCAAAGGACATAAAAAAGAAAACAACAAAAAAGAAATGTTGCCAGCCAAGCTGCTAAATTGTGTGCCCCGAAATGTGTCCGGCAACACATAATGCCAAGTTTTCAGAGTATGTGCTGTGCAGGGCATAGGGACTCTGCCTGCACTCAGTTTATGTGTGCCCACACATACTTACACGCACACACACACACGCATGGGAAATCTGTTCATGTCCTTTTTATGCAGGCGACTGGCCCAGCTGCGCTGCTGCTGCTGCTGCTGCTGCTGCCGCCGCTTGCCCAATGGCCGCAAGGAATTTCACACAATTGTTAGAAAAATTGCAGAAAATTGAAAATGTGCGAGAGCATATAAATTTTTACTGCGTCACTTGTAATGCTAAATTGTTGTTATTTATGGCCAGTTGCGTGTGACTCATGCCAACATTTGCTTACACGCCAAGTACGGTCAGTCCATCGTCCCCTCTCTCTGTCACTCTGTCTCTCTCTCTCTTTCTTTCGCTTTCTGTTTTAAGCTTTTAGCACTTGGCGCAATTGTGGCCGAACGAATGATTGAATTTTCTTGAACTTTCTTGACTCTCTTGACGCATATAAGCACTTTATTGCTGCCAGCAATCGATGGGCCAATAGGGTGCTTATATTGGTCAAGTTGCGTTTAAATTTTCAAGAACGCCTTCCTCAACACATAAAATCCATAGCAAGCGAATCTGTGCATAATGCCGCGCCCGCTTGGCGTCGTCAGTGACATGAGCATCAAATACATGCCAACCGAAAGCGCATATTTGTTGCCCTCCATCCACTTGAGCGACTCGGTCAAGTTGATCGAGAGCTTGGGCTGGCGCACACGCGCGCTGCGCTTCTTCTCAAAGCTTTGGCCAAAGAACATCAGATACGAAATCTGTATACAGTTGGCATCTGTGATGCTCACATATCTGCCATTCGATTCCACGTTGACAAAAGCGGGCTTCACAACATACTCCACCACGGCGACGCACCTGAGCAGCGCGCCGCAGCGGGAGCCGCCCCAGCCAGGAGTTTGTGGACTGCGCCTCAGCGCCTCGTCCACGTCGCTGGTCAGCTCCAAGAACGTATTTACGGGCAGAGAGCCCACGGTCAGCATAGCATAGAGCTGCTCCACCCTGGCACCATAGAAGCCAATCCGGACGGGATACTGTTCGCGCAGTCGGGTGTAGACCTTGGTGTGCGTGCATTTCAGACTCGGTGTAACCTCGAAGATCTGCGTGGGTTGCACTTGCGGCGCCACAGTCTTCAGGTGCGCATACAGATCTTCGAACTCACATGGTCGCAGTGTGCTCAAGGCGAAGCGCTCGCCATGACGCACCAGCACGACATACAGCAGATTCAGTACATCCCTATGATAGCAATGAAAGTTGCCCTTGCTTAGCTGTTCCAGTAAGACCTCCAGCCGATCTATGTCGGCGACAACTTGGAAGATAGCGCCGATGTTCGGGCGCTGATTGCCGTCGAGAAACTCCTTGGGGAAGGGCCGCAGCAGCTTCTCGTAACGATAGCTATTGGCAGCTGCCACGAAGAGCGAAAAGCGCACATCGCAGGCAAGCAGATCGGACCGCAGACGATCCTGGACTTGATAGAGCTGCCGTAAATAGATGGCAGGCTCCGTCGCTTGCTCAGCACAGAGCTGAGATATGTGCGTGAAGTTGGAGTTGCTGGCCACGCCGATTGTTCCGGCTTGATTTGAGTTGTCCAAAAAGTCAACCAACTTCATGGAGTCAGCGGAGGGTATTGACGCGCAAAGGAGTCGACTCTATGTGATTTGTAAAAAGGATGTACGCTGCACTTGCTTCTGTTTAAAGCGGAAATTTATTTGACACAAATAATTTACAATATCTGAAATACTGACATTTGGAAATGAAAAAGTGCGCCATGCCGTTTCCATACTGCCCCGGTGCCAGCTGAGATTGACGGCTTTCGTGCTCTTGTTTTGCTTTGGTCTCCTTGGCGAGCTGCAGATTGAATTTAGACACTTCTGTGACAGGTTGTGATTGTCGCACAGCATCGAGGGAGCCACTGCTCGTTGAGGGTGTGCCTGTAATTGATTAATGGAGCTGATGCACGACGCGTAGCTTATGTCAGCCTGCATGTTTACAGCGACGCCTTTACGGCTTTGGCTCGGCCAATCAATTGGACCGCATTGAGTTATGGTCGGACGTGAAAGCCACCACCAAAAAAAGGCCCGAGCAGCCCTCCCCTCAACTGCTGGTCAGTAATAGAGTCAAGAGAGAGAGAGAGAGAGCAGCAGGTTGTAGCACCTTGATCAGCAACGATTTCATTTGACAAACACATGCACATAGATACATGGATACACACACATACATGTGGGAGGGTAAGCGAGTGTGTGTGTGTGAGTGCTCTGCATTTCAGCGGCCGTCGCTTTATCTACTTTAAAAAGTGCTGGCAGCAGTATGCGTAATTTATTGATATACTCTCCTTAAATTATGAGTCTCCTGGGGGGCCGCTGGCTGGCGTACATTTTTTTCGGTGCTAGCTGCAGGTGTCGGTGTAGAAATCAGTTAACCGAGAAAGTTTTGTAACTTTTTGCGCTGCTGCCACTCTGCCAGCTGCCCTGTGAAATCAGAAGTTTGAGTTTATTCAAATAAACGCCGACATTAAGAGAGTTGCAACTGTTGCGCTGCCGCTGGCCCAGGCGCTGGAGCCATAGACCTCGACTCGACTCGACTCGACTCGGCATAGCCCAAGCGAGGCGGCATAAATCAGAGAGCCAGCTCCAGTTTGCAACTTTTCTTTTTTCGTAGATAAACTTTTTGACGCACCAAAAGCCACCACCTTTGCGTCATTTAACCCTCTTTTTGCTGCCCGAAAGCTTTATTAATATGCGCCGTTTTCTTGTGCACTCTCCCAATTTCACATTGCCAATTCCCATGAGCCAGGCCCACTAAATAATTGCCTGGCATATGCTCGAAATTTTTCTACTCTCTGCGAAACCTTTAAACGCGCCACAAAATAAAACAGCAACATTTTCTCATTTAGCAAGTGACTTTTCCTTTTTGTTTCCTCTCGACTCGCAATGTTCTTTATCGATTCGTCTTAGTCTAGCACAAAAGGGGTGCCCGCAATCGGAGTGTTGGATTTATCTTATAAATGCATATATTTATAAATATTTATATTTATTATCTTATTATATATTATATAATAATATTATATAATATTATACAGAAATACTCTTCTCCACTCTAATCTGTTTAGCTGTTTAATTGTTTCACATACGTAAGCGTAAGAACTTTATTTAGACTTTGGTGTTATGGGCGATTCATGTTGCAGGCATGTCCTCAATCTGAGCTCTCCTCTTATGGGCGTGTCAGTTGCACATATGTCGATGTGCCTTATGAACTCGTAAATCTGTGGTAGATATATGTCATCCTTGTCTTTGTAGAACAATTCACGTACAGGCTCTGAATACTGCAAAATAAACAGGGATTTCATAAATTAATAAAACCTCAATACTTGGGTCATCAGTAAAGACTAGTGAAACTTGAAATTAGCTTGAATCTCCCATCTCCCATCTCCCATCTCCTATCTCCTATCTCCTATCTCCTATCTCCTATCTCCTATATCCTATATCCTATCTCCTATCTCCTATCTCCTATCTCCTATCTCCTATCTCCTATCTCCTATCTCCTATCTCCTATCTCCTATCTCCTATCTCCTATCTCCTATCTCCTATCTCCTATCTCCTATCTCCCATCTCCTATCTCCTATCTCCTATCTCCCATCTCCTATCTCCTATCTCCTATCTCCTATCTCCTATCTCCTATCTCCTATCTCCTATCTCCTATCTCCTATCTCCTATCTCCTATCTCCTATCTCCTATCTCCTATCTCCTATCTCCTATCTCCCATCTCCTATCTCCTATCTCCTATCTCCTATCTCCTATCTCCTATCTCCTATCTCCTATCTCCTATCTCCTATCTCCTATCTCCTATCTCCTATCTCCTATCTCCTATCTCCTATCTCCTATCTCCTATCTCCTATCTCCTATCTCCCATCTCCCATCTCCCATCTCCCATCTCCCATCTCCATCTCCTATCTCCTATCTCCTATCTCCTATCTCCTATCTCCTATCTCCTATCTCCTATCTCCTATCTCCTATCTCCTATCTCCTATCTCCTATCTCCCATCTCCCATCTCCCATCTCCCATCTCCCATCTCCCATCTCCCATCTCCCATCTCCCATCTCCCATCTCCTATCTCCTATCTCCTATCTCCTATCTCCTATCTCCTATCTCCTATCTCCTATCTCCCATCTCCCATCTCCCATCTCCCATCTCCTATCTCCTATCTCCTATCTCCTATCTCCTATCTCCTATCTCCTATCTCCTATCTCCTATCTCCTATCTCCTATCTCCTATCTCCTATCTCCTATCTCCTATCTCCTATCTCCTATCTCCTATCTCCTATCTCCTATCTCCTATCTCCTATCTCCTATCTCCTATCTCCTATCTCCTATCTCCTATCTCCTATCTCCTATCTCCTATCTCCTATCTCCCATCTCCCATCTCCCATCTCCCATCTCCCATCTCCCATCTCCCATCTCCCATCTCCCATCTCCTATCTCCTATCTCCTATCTCCTATCTCCTATCTCCTATCTCCTATCTCCTATCTCCTATCTCCTATCTCCCATCTCCCATCTCCCATCTCCCATCTCCCATCTCCCATCTCCCATCTCCTATCTCCTATCTCCTATCTCCTATCTCCTATCTCCTATCTCCTATCTCCTATCTCCTATCTCCCATCTCCCATCTCCCATCTCCCATCTCCCATCTCCCATCTCCCATCTCCTATCTCCTATCTCCTATCTCCTATCTCCTATCTCCTATCTCCTATCTCCTATCTCCTATCTCCTATCTCCTATCTCCTATCTCCTATCTCCTATCTCCTATCTCCTATCTCCTATCTCCTATCTCCTATCTCCTATCTCCTATCTCCTATCTCCTATCTCCTATCTCCTATCTCCTATATCCTATATCCTATCTCCTATCTCCTATCTCCTATCTCCTATCTCCTATCTCCTATCTCCTATCTCCTATCTCCTATCCAATATATCTCATTCAAATGACTCTTACAGCTTGTCAGTTCGTCTGTTCATTTGTATATGACCTAAAGGCTTTCTGGAATTCCAGTTTCAACATGCCTTGAATGACTAGAATCATCTATCTGTCATTTACATCCACTTTCATTGTACCCCGTATTAAATTCTATTGCACATTAGTCTAAGAGGTTAACAGCACTAAAATTAGTCAGCCTCGAGTTGATCTGTTATTAATTGCTTTTGATATTAGATAAATTATACGTTGGCCGGCCTGTTTGTCAATCAGTGGAACGAATCGAGTATATTTTATTGCGGTTTGAGAGTGCTTTTGCACCTAAGCCAGACACGCTCAGGTTTTTTCAATTACACGCATTCTATTTACGCCAAATCAATTGGCATATTTTCACACATAAACATAAATTGGCTTCGATATGCCGGAGCAGAAGCAGTTGGGAAAACAAACGCGTTCTGCTTTTTGCCATCTAGCCATTTCATAAATATGTACCGCACGTAGGCCAGCTCAATTGCCAATTAGAAGAGGGAGAAATGCCTTGGCACATGGAGAGTCTGCTTTAAAATTAGGACATGGCGAAGAAGTTCGGCGGCAAGCCGGCGGAAGTTGATTTGTATACGGAGTACATATGCCTGAGCCACGACCGGAATGAAATTGTGCCACTCGAAGCACTCGGGGAACGTAATAAAGCATTGGCACTGCCACTGCCATTCCAAGAAAATGCTACTCTAATATTTAGCTCACGTTTGCTACAAAAATTATTAGGCATCCGCGGTCTGCCTATTTCCAAGTGCTTTTCCAACTCTCACACACACGCGCACACTTCAATAATTGTTTGAAAGAAAAAAATGTGAAATAGGCCCTGATCGAACCTTTTGAAAACTCAGGTACGTGCCGTAGGCGAGTTGAAGGTGAGGAGCGGCAACTTACATACAGATTGTTCCATATAATTTTGAACTCCGCTGAGAACAAGTTGTTGTTGAACTTGGCGAAATGTTCGTCCGTTTTGACTTTATTGGCATACATCTCACTGAATTTTGTTGCTGACAGTAAGCCCAGTATGCTGTCAACTAGGCCGTGCACGCCCTTCTGCTCCTCATTGACAATGGCCACATCCAGTTCTGCAAGCAAATTCAGATTCATATTCAGATTCAATAACAGGCAAAGTATTTAATTAAATGCACATGGCCAGTGCATAGCTGGGGCATCATGCCACTGCCACAAAGCCATGCATTTTGGGTGCCTTTTCCGTTTGACTTTGTCTGCATAGTTTGCAGCTATTTGCAAATAATTCAATTCAGGTGCTGTGCAGGCTTCGAGAGGCGAGCATGTGTGAACATTGATAAGCTTGAAGCAGACAGCAGACAGCAGACGGCAGACAGCGGACGGCGGACAGTTCTGTTGGACCATGACATTGAGCATAATGCCATAATTTCCACAAAGGTACAGATGGCCAAGGGACAATGGACAAGGGACACCGCAGAGAGGACAGTGGATGACTTGAAAGTTATTTGGAAGCTTGTTTGTGTCATGACACGGCGCTGGTCATGTTTGTGTGTTGACAGAGGTTTGGGCCGCTGCCCTATCGCTCATACGCACCGCTGCCCGGTGTGTTGTCCGCAGAGGCTGACTTCAGAGTTAACACCACGGCCTGCGCCAGATCGATTACGTCTAAGCCGATGCCATGCAAATAATTCGTCACAGCCAGCACATCGGCCATCTGCAGCAGTTCAAAGATCTCGGTTTTGATGAAATCGTATCCTCGCTGCACCTCTTCGTCGTGGCGATAATAATTGTTGACGATGGCCACCACCTGCCTGGCGGGTATCAACGCCACAAAATCGCTTATGTTCAGAGGCGGGGCAGGATTGAATGGTTCTTCCTGTTCCTTCTCTTCGAGCTCTCGCAAGAGATCGTCGTATTTCGATGGCGTTTTGGTTGGGCCACGGTCCGAGGTGAGCACAATCAAATCGTCCGAAACATTATCGTCCTTGCTGCTCGAACGGCTGTCCTCCTCACTAGAGCTGGACTTGTTTTCGGCATCTGATGACCCATCGGCACCCTCCATCGACGAGCTCTTCAGCTGCGGTGCACCGCCGACCACAGCCACGAACGCGATCAATGCCAGCAGGACACTATGATAGCTGAAAGATGTTTTGCGTTCTCGCCTCATTTTGCTACTGACTGAGCGAGCGACGCGTAGAGCCCAGTTCGACCCCAACTCTGACGATATATTCACTGATTGTGGGCGATTATTTAATTGAGCCACTCAGTCGAATTTATTAGCATGCTGTGTGAGAGTCTGAGTGTGCGTCACGAGCTGATGTCCAGCCAATTGACAGCTAAAGAGCATCAGCTGTGGCCATGTATTATATTTCACAATTTAATATAAGAAGAAATTGATTTATACAGCGTATAAATTATGCTTATCTTACTTATCTTGTTTTCAAATACAATTCGAATGGGCGAATAAGCGGCGCGGCCTGCGGCTCTGATTGAAATCGCGCTGCGAACATTTCAACATTTCCTGTCCAGTTTGAGTATGGATAACTGACTGTATTATTAAATACGCTTCCGCGTATGCAAATCAAAAGCAATTTACAAGAAAAACAAACCGAAGTGTGTGTGAGTGTGTGAGTGTCATTCACACTTTGACAGCTGTTGCTGTATCACTCAGTTAGTCACTGACTGTCATTCATTCTGGTTACAATTCGCTCGCACGTCAAACTGTGCATAAAATATCTCCTCTAGCGGGTGAGAAGGAGAGAGAGAGGGAGAGCGCGGCTGTGCGTGTGAGAGAGAGGCTTGATATATTCATTCGTTCATTCAGCAAGTTAAGTAGGAATAAAATTGTCAATTTTCATGTCATTATTTCATGTCGTTGTTCGTGGCGGGCGGCGTTCACTTTCGCATGTGACAAGCTGCGACTATCAAATGCACACACAAGCTCAGCTCATGTGCGTGTGTGTGTGTGTGTGCTTACAGTTATGATTTATTCACTTGGTTTGATTTATTACAAGCCGCTGCTCCCCACCCCAAGACTCACTGCGTGTGTGTGGGTGTAAATTGTGCGCATACAAACCAATAATTGTATCGTTGTCAGCAGTGACAGCGCTCGCTCTCTCTCTCCCACTTAATATTTGTGTCTAGCTTCAGCTGAGGCAATTTTTATACGTAAATAATTTGACTTAGCCTTAACTTTATGCAAAGTGGCGGGTGCCAAATTTCATAACATATGACACTTTATAAATTTTGAACGGCCAGCCGGAAACTCTTGGCAAGTGTCGTAACTTTGGCACGTAACGCGGCAAAACTTGTCCCAGGTTGCCGATGCCCAATGGATGCCTGGTCTGTCGCTGGTCTCTCGCCTGGCCTCTCTTGGCTTGCCGCAACTGTCGCGGCCCAAACTTATAAATTAATTTTGCCACACGAAATACTTTGGCAAGGTCTTGGCATGCCTCAGCTGCTGCTGCTGCTGCTGCTACGCATGGCAAGTCCTCAGCCTAAGGAATTGCAGGCAGCGGCGCAAGTGTTGCGGTTATGGCCAACTTACTCATAATTAACTGCAGTCCAGCATGGCAGAGGCTGAGTGGACCCGGCTAGCGGACGGGTGGCGTTTTATGGCGCGCACCTGTGACAGCCGACGCTTGCATACTTTTGGGGTGCAAAGTTAATTTCATGGAGTTCGGTTCGGCGCAAGGATGTGTGCGCTCCTGCTCCCGCTCCCGCTGCTGCTCCTGCTCCTGCTCGTGGCTGGGCTGTTTTTAAAACGTTCGGCTCTTTTGTTTATGTTGCGGGCCAAGAACTCGCATTTTACCGCAAGTGTCAACATTTATTTCCAACTTAACACTTTGGCGTAACATTGCGCTTAATCCGACGCGCCAGAACTTGACTAATTTTGTGCAAAGTTCAGCATTAACATTACCGCAAATTAGCAAAACTTTTCGCACAAGCAACAAAAAAAAGAAACGTAGAAGCAGCAGCACACTCTCTCCCAGAAAATAAAATAAATCCAGTTTCAAGCGCAAAACAAAATGAACGTCGAGCCGCCATTTGAGTTGCTGTTGCGGCTGCTGCCTGTTGTCTGGCGCTATCTGCCTGGTTCACTGAGTGCCATAAATTAACTTGTCCTGGCAACGCCGACAAACTGCTTGCGCTAGCATTTTCCTAGTTGTCGACTGCGACTTGCCAGATTTTTGTTTAATCTGTTACTGTTTGTTGCTATTGTTGTCGTCCTGCGCGCGTGAGTTGAGTTTTTGGGTAGTTTTAATTATGTGCCTCTACCCTGTGAATATGCCAAATGAGTTGGTCGGCTTGGCAAGCTACCTTTACAGTTGGCGCGAGTGCACTATGTGCACTACAAATTCATCTGTCTAGAAGGTATAGAAAAGTATCTATGAGTAATTCAATTCATATAGAAAAAGTATCTTTCAGGCAAAAGAGTTGCTGGACTAAAGTGGCTATTAGCTGATAGAATATTTGAGAGTTGCAAATGTATTTGAGAGTGATAAATCTTTCTGTATCTGTAAAATCACAAAACACAAAGAGTAACCAATAGCTTAGATACATTTGCAGATAAATATCTTTATGTAATACTCAAAGTATCTCAAAGTATCAAAGTATAATACTCAAAGTATCAAAGTACTCACTAGTATCTGCTAGAGACAAAAGGATATATTAGATGACAGAGTATCCGTGAGATAAATTTCTTTGTGAAACTAACAAAAATCAGAAAAATAAAATAGCAACGACTAGTTTAGTTATCAATCTAAAAAAGTATCTCAATCTCACACAAATATATTTTAGATAAAAGATTAGCAGATGTAAATTTACAAATTGTTTCAGTTCTTAAGCCTCTGCTTTCTCTATCTCCAAACTATAAAAGAAAGCAGTTTCTATGGCATATCAAAGTAGCAGTATTAAAAGTATCAGTTGAGATATTTAAGTCTAATACAAAAGTAGCTTTGAGTGTTGCAAAAGTTCTATTCGATACACAATTTAAGTTGCGATATAAAAGTAATTGATAAATAGAAAATAATTCGAATAAAATTCACAATTTCATCAAAAATTTAAGCACATTTTAATCTAGTAAAGTCTATGAATGCCTATTGATTGGCAAATGGCTTCGTTTTTGTCTTTTTTTTTTTGGTTTTGTTTTTCTTTGTCAATTTAGGCATTTATTTATTTGTTTTATGATTCAGCCGAGCACTTAGCAAACGTCACACATTTCGTTTGTCAGCCGCAACTGTCCACAGCATGTCAACTTTGATTTTGATTTTGATTTTCGTTTTGATATGAATAAAAGTTAAACGAAAATACTTCGAGCTGCCCATGTCGCAGTTTTGCTGGTCTGGGGCCAGAAATGTTTCGATAATTTTGATGATTTCGGTAACAATTGCTGTTTCGTTATTTTTGACTGTTGTCTATCTATTTATCGTCTGTTTGCCTGGCCGCACACACAGGTGTGGGCCAGGTGGTTGATGCTTTGCCGTTGCTAACCCAGTGACATTTGGACCTGCACCTGCCACTCTGCCCCAGCCCTGCCGCACGCGCACAACGTTCAATCAATTGTTTTTACAGCTGGCAGCAGGAGCTAGCGGGTGGGTGGCTGTTTGGTCGGCGCTTTTGAAGCGCAAAGTTTGCTACGCTTTTGACACGTTTCGCAAATATTTGAGCACGTCTAAAATAGCGCAACGTTCGCGGGGTGTTCATATTTTGAATTTGAGGCCCAGCCTCCCAGCTGGCCAGACTCCTTCTGCAATCGCATCGTCTTGTCCCACTGCCATTGCTCCAACTGCTGCTGCGTTGCTACTGCTGCTGCTGTCCAGCTCCTGGCCATGGCTGTTGCGTGCCAGCGCGTACTTTGCCCTTGTCCATGGCTTTAATTAATTTTCGCTTCCGTTAACAATTTTTATGTGCGATTTGTGGATTTGAAAGGCGGACAGAGGTGCTTTGTACGGTTCGTGCATGTGCTGATTTCGTGTTTATGCTTTCTTTAATTTGCCACTAATGCCCACACAACTATTTGAGTATTTGTATATGCTTGCGCCATACGCCATGCGCCATGCGCCATTTGTGGCACAGAAATATTTGCCGGATACATGCGATTAGATTGGCCCAGATTGCAGTCCGGCCAAGAAAAAATGGAGCGTGCAACAAGTTAATTACGCTATTCTAGCTGCTATTCTGCTTAATATTTATTGTGATTTTATTGTGATTATTGCCCAACTTATTTGGCATTCCAACTGTGCCGAATGCCGATTGTCGATTGCCGCTGCAGATGCCGAACGGCATTCAGCTAAATAGGCAGCCAGGCAGTCAGGCAGCAGCAAGTAAAATAAATAACAAAATGCCAGCAAGGATGTACGAAAATAATCTGAAAGTCTTTTGAAGTTCCAAAGTAAAAGCAGCGACAGCGTCAACGATATAAAGTTAGCGCTTTTTTGGCTTTGACGCACGTAGCTGCCGATTCCGAAGTTTTCCCACAGTGTATGTGTGTGCGCGTGTGTGTGTGTGCGTGTGAGTGTGCCTGGAAAGCCAAAAAAGGAATCGACATCAACAACAACAAGAGTCGTGGCTTGGTCTTTGCGCTTTTATTAAGCTTATAAATTTTTTATTCAAGACTTTTTACTTTGAACGAGTTGCACGAAGCTCGCGGGCAATCAAAAGGAAGAAAAAAACGGAAAAGGGGAAAACTACGACACTCATGTGACATTTATTTGAGTTTTTCCATTGAATGCTGCCAGGACTGCCGGTAAATCATGCTCCAATTTCTGACAGCCAGCCTTTGCCAAGCTCCCGTCATAAATTATCAAATCGTTAATGCCACAAACTCCGAAAGAAAGAAACAAAAAACTGTTAGACTTTTCATTAAATGCCCAGCGGGTTACAAATAAAATCTGACAATTTCAATAACTACTACAAAAAAGAAGCAGCAGAACGTGCAAACCTGCACCACTGGGACTTTCGGCTTTGGTCCACTTGATCTGCCAGCATCAGACACAGCATTTAATAACGTCCACGTTTCATGCCACTAAACTTGCCGCTGTCGCTGGATGCACATCCGCTTTCAATATTCAACAACTGCACAACTGAAATAAAATCGCTGCTGTGACAGTTGTGTCGGCTTGTAATTGAAAATATCAAGTCTTCAATATTTGACTAACTGCTGCCCTTTGACATGGACATGTTAAGCATAAATATTTATGGCAAGTAACTGAGGTTGACGAGCAAACTGCCTTTTGAAGTAGATAACTATGTGTCAATTGTTTAGTGCCTAAGCTTAACTAACTTATCTGTAATTATATTCAATTCAAATTGGCATTTCAAAGTATTCAATTAGAAAGTATTTGTGGGGATCTGAAGAGCAGCTTCACAGCTTTTGACTCTGAGTAAGAGTATAGTAAGTAAATTAGGCTGTTTTTTTTTTTTTAGTTTTTCAACTTTGAGTTGAAAATACGGATTTACTTAAATATTTATTAAAGATTTAATAGTATCTATTTATTAAGTCTGCCTTGACATTTTAGTATAACTAGTCTAACTTCAGAGCAACAATTAATTTTTACCAAATTACTGGTTGCGCTCTTCAAATTTATGACACTATTCCTTGATTCACATGGCACACATAATAATGAAGCCCAATTTTGATTGCATGGCTACGTAACTAAGCAGGAATGATCACCTTTAGATTGAGGATGACCCATAAATTTATGCTGAAGCACCATTATATCCACAGTATTTTTTGCGCTTGAGATGCGGCGGAGTCATTGGTCCATAAGTGCTCAAAAATCTTGGAGGGCATCATTGTAATGGTTGTGGAAATTGGTGTTTATAATTAAACATTATTAAATATTAACATAAATAAATAATAAATAATAAATAAATAATAATAAATAAATCAACATTAAAATTATAATTGAAAATTAATGCCATTAAACTTGGTATCCCATTCATTAATTTAAAAGAAATTTAGTTTATTTTATTATGATTGAAGTTTATGAACCTCTCAAATAAACAGCCAATACATAGAAATATAGAGAGTATATTCTGCAATGATAAAATATGCTTAAATGACTTGAAGACGAGCTGCTTAACATATCAAAATTATGTGCTCTCATCATTGTATGCAAATAAATAAACATATGACGAAGCTCAGCGTCATCTTATGATATACAGCATATAAAATATCATACATAATTTAATATATATAATAACTCATTATAATATACAGAATATATATCATATATATGAGTACGCTTACGATATAATACGCTGACATTGGCTTCGCCATTCCGCAAGAAATACAATTTTTGGCCACTCAACTAGTTTCGCTATAAATGAAATATGCAAATTAATTTCTCTGGCCAAGGTGCTTTTGCTGGCAATTTGCATAATAAGGTGGGAGTGAAGTGGCTTTTGGCGAAACTGATCTACTAAATCATAAATGCCATCAAATGCTATTTCTGTAGGTTTTATTCAATTTGTACCATATGGCGTATGCGTAATAATGTTGGCGTGTGTGCCTCACGTGCGGCATATAAATTGCTTAGTTTTATCATGGCTCAAAATTGGTTTGCAGCCCCTTTGTTGGCAAAGAGGTGCAAATTGCGTTTGTTTTTATGCTCTTGACAACTGTCAAAATAGTCAGCCAGCAAATGGCCGAACTGGACGGGCACACACCTACGCACACACGTGGGCATTCGTAAGGTATGACACCAAAGGAAATCAATTTCCATATGCAAAAGTTTTTAGTGCACGTGCCGGGCCGGGCCGGGCCGGGCCGGGCCGGGCAGAGCTGGGCCATGGCCGAAATCGAATTTCATCCATAAAATATTCAAATTGCGCTGTAGCATAAACGTCGCATAAACATTTATTTTTTTCTCTCGCGCCACGCTGCAACTCAAAGACACACACACACACATGTGTAGAAGTGTATAGGTGTGTGTGTGCATACTCATTTTTCGATCTGGGTTGGGCTTGTAGTTTGGCCTTTACCTTTTACTCTCTCTGTTTCTCTGCTTACACCTAGCGCATAAATTTTTATGTTAAAACGCCAAAGCCGTAGGCGGCCAGTTCGACCGAGTTCGATCACTTAATATGTCCCGTGGCAGAAATTCAATTTGCAGCACATCCGCCGGAGAGAGCGCAGAAAAAAGCTGCAAATGGTGTTGCCTTTAATGTCCAAAAAGTGCAAATGTGTCGGCCCGCTGCCAGCGGGTCACAAAACAAAGCGCACAAAAACGGCCGTTAAGCCCTCCGCTCTTGGCCCTTGCGGAAATAAAACGTACACACTCACACACCGACACACACACACACTGGACACACACACATTTACAGCAACATTTTTGGCCACTTTGGTCACTTTGTTGCTGTCGCCTGTGATGGGCTCGGTAAATGTGAATAGTTTGAGTCTGGGGTTTGACTGTTTTGACTGCTTGGCGAGCGTTTGATTGAAAATTGATTTCATTATGAGCTTTTGATGCATTTCCCGCTCGCTTCTGTCGCTTTTTAATTGAATCTCTGAAGTGCTTCTGTCTCTGTGTGTGTGAGAGTTTGTCGTCTGTTTTACTACACTTTCCCATTCGGTTCTATTTATGCGTCGCCTTGACTACGAGCACACTCACATTTACTCCTTGCAAATTAGTTGCGGCGCTTTCTTTGCTGCTCATGCAAATTTTTTTGGGCAGCGTCCGACAACAACTGTTGGCCAGAGCTCTGTGGAATTTTAAGAAGCAACGCTAACCAGCCTCCCCGCCAGCCACTCCCATTGGAATTAAGCCGCTTATGGCCAGCCGTTTGGTTCTGCGTCTCTTGGCTCTTGTTTTTAAATTCGCGGCATTCCGTTTCCGTTGCCGTTGCCGTTGCCGTTGCCAGGTCTCGAATCTTTTGGTCGAAATATTACGATGTTGCCATTTCACTTAAGGCCGCCGCTGCTCAAGTGCACTTGTGCTCGCCACAAATGGCTGTTGTCCACCCCCTACCCCCTGAAGGGGTATTTAGCATAAAAGGTGTGCGAGTTGGGCGCCAACGTGTCTTGGGCTGTATAAGTTTTGGCGCAGTTGATGGATGTTTTGCATCAAATTTCGAGTGAAAGCAGCCACGAATCCACAACGACATTCTGAGGTGTCACTTGGGTTTGAGGTCGCCGCAAAGTGCGCCAGACACATTTACATAATACCAAGGGATGCCCGCCCATGCCCCCAAATGCAAATGACTACAAATTAAATGTGGCCAGAGTGCATTAAGCTACAAGCAGAGTTGAATACAGACAGACCAGTAGATGTAGTGTCTAAACATATATTCTATATGGTTATCAGAGATTTACTCGAAGCACATTTATATCAAGGCGTACATTAGCCTGCTGACCTAGCAGGCATTCACACTTTTGTACTCATTTACAGGCAGCCGAAATGTCTTCAAAAAAAAAACAACCCCAGCACGAGTGCGTGGATAGGAAAGATTATCTGGCCACTTGCGATAGCGTTCCCATTGATCGGGATACCTTCTGGCAGACGAACGAGGAGCTTCCGCGCAACACCACCAGCGGGCAGAGGATACTGCGCACCACCTGGCTAAGCAAGTCGACGGCTTTTTCGCACCGCGAACAACAGCTGCTCAGCATAAATGGCTTGATTCCATTCTCAGTTTATAGCCTGGAGCAACAGGTGCAGATGTGCGGGCAGTACTTCGATAAATTCCAAACGCTCTTCCAGGAGTATCTGTTTCTATCCGACTTGGAGTCTCTCAACCGAAAGCTCTTCTATAATCTACTGATCAGCGATCCGGGCAAATATATGTCAGTGTTCAGAATCGCAGAGTTTCCCAGCCTGATAAGGAACTTCAGCGTGCTCTACACGAATAATCGGGGCATGTATGTCACCATTAAGGATCGTGGACATATCTACGATGTCCTGCGCAACTGGCCGCTGCGCCACTCCGTGCGATATGTGATGGTGACCAATGGAAACAACATAATGAATTTGGGAGACGTTGGCACCAGTGGGGCTCCCGTTGTATTTTACAAAATGTATGAAGACGTGGCCTTTGGCCGCATGAATCCCGATTTCTGCCTGCCCCTAATGATGGACTTGGGCACAAACAATCATGATCTGCTGCAGAACACATTTTACATGGGGGTGCGCGAGAGTCGCACTACTGGGCCCGAGCTGTTTGAGTTTTTCGAGGAGTTCACTTTGGCCGTCATGCGAATTTTCGGGCCACGTGCAGTTATCCAAACGCAAGACTTCAGTCCGAAAGAAACACTGCAACTGCTGGACCTCTATCAGAAGAGGAAGTGCTATATGGACATAAGCGTACAGCTCTATGGCACCTGCGGGCTCGCCGGCCTGCTGGGCGCCCTCTCGATCACAGAGGTCAAATTCAGGGCGAACACACTGCTCTTCTATGGCTTGGAGAACTTCAACTTCGGCCTGGCACGCATGTGCATGGCGTACCTGATGCGCCAGGGACTCGATAGAAATGCAGCGCAGATGTGCATATGGTTCTGCGATGCCCATGGGCTAGTAGTGCACAATCGTTCTCCACACAAGGTGCCCGAGGAGCTATCGGAATTCAGCCGCACCCATGCGCCCATCGACACTCTGCTGGAGGTCATTGAGCAGATCAAGCCGACTGTGCTGGTGGGCTGTAGTGCGCATGCGAATGCCTTCACCAAAGATATTCTGAGAGCCATGGAGCGAAGCTGTGCTATGCCCATCATATTTGCCATGTCCAAGCCCTTGCCATTGGCCGAGTGCACGGCCGAAGATGCATTTGTCTATACCAAGGGTCGCTGCATTTTCATATCCGGCTGCGAGATGCCGCCGGTGAAGTACGCGAACAAATGGTATCAGCCCAGCTTCTGCACCGATACCTACATACACTGCGGCATCACTTTGGGCATCATTCTGTCCGGCTTGACAAATGTACCGGACGAGCTGTTCCTGGTAGCCGCCGAACGGCTGGCCAGCTTAGTATGGCCCACGGACATTGTCAAGCGCAATGTATATCCGCCGAAGAGCAAGATTAACTGTGTCAATCTGCAGATAGCCGAATCCGTCTTCACTTTCGCCTATCGGCGTCGCCTGGCCACCCTCTGGCCAGAGCCGAGCAATCCCAAAGAGTACATAGAGAGCATGCTCTTCAAGTCCGAGTACTCCGATACAGTTCCCACACTCTACTGCACGGAAGATCAGAATATTGGCACCTCCGAGTCGGTGAACTACTATAAGCACAATATATAGCTAGACTATTTGCTCTGACTTTTGATTATCGATTTAATAATTAAATAACGCAGCTCAAATTGCATATCTCGCTTTCGAATGGCTCATTCCACATGCTCACTTATTTGACTGCGGCTGAGTTGCCAGTATCGCCTCCTTGGCCGCATTCAATTCGAGTCTAGTCACAGCCAGTGAGCAATTAGCTGCATGCAATTTTCACATGTCAACCCCGGGTATATAAGTGTGTGTGTGCGCGTGCTATTGACCCGCGGCTGGTGCTCGAGCTTGAAACTATTAAAAACAACAATCCCAATTGCAGTTGTATTGTATAATAAATTGAAACAACCACCGTAAAATGGCACAAAACAAAGCCGCAACAAAGAGGCAGCCAAATTAAATTGCATGCATGCGAATGAGTGTGCCTGTGTGTGTGCGTGTGTGTGTGTGTGGCAGGCAGTGCCTGCCATTGACAGGTACTCCACTGGGAAGCGTGTTTTTTGTGTATTCGCTCTCTCATGTGAGTTTCATTTCATTTATCAATATGCCAAATGAAATACATACAGCAACTGCCCATCGCACTCGCCTCTATTTGCGGTTAACAACGAAAATGACCTGAGGTCAGGCAATCGCCTTTATCCCAGCTACAGCTAATTGGAAAACATATATAACTGCGACATTTTTCCAAATACTCAAATGTCTCTATTTTCAGCCCCAAACCGTGCACTGATTAATTGTTGTGCATGTCGCCAGCTCAAGCCACCTTTGATTACCTATCATGAGTCTGAATATATTAGGAGAGCTCAACATAAAACTACTCTGGGGCACACTTAGCTTAAAATAATAATAATAATAATAACTAAAGCTGGACATCAGATAAGATCGGCTTGTCGTAGCGTCTGATTAAAAGCGACTAAGAGTTGACCATACGAACTCATCTCGTTTTTTGTATTGCATGATAAAACAATTGAGCTCTCAAAACTACTTAATGACTTGCTTATATTATGATATAAACAGCTATAATATACAGCTAAGCTGTAAAGAATATAGAAGCCTGGCATATAACAAAAAATTGATTCAAGCATTCAAGCCATAATTTTCCTCTTTGTGTTTAAGTTGAATGCCATCGAACACCGAAAATATAGTTAAATTAAACTGGAGGCAGCACAGCGAACAACCCTTTCCTTTAAGGACTCTGAAACAAAACTCTATTTACTTAATGCATAAACAAATAAGTACTTACACAGAAATGTACTTAGCGCCCCGGCCATCGCAGCAGCGCTGCCAGCCGTAAATGTTAAATATGTTCTTAGACTTAAGCTGCAGGAACAATTCACAACTGATGCCAACGCCAGTTAAGGCAAAGTTTTTAAAGTATGCACCTGGCCAGCTCAAAGGTAAAACGCAAATGGGACTTTTATGAATGGCTTGTAGCTGGAGTCTACAAGTTGCTCTTTAGCTGATATTACATAACAAAGCAGAAGAAATTCCAGTCTAAGTCCGGGCAAATCAGCTCTCAGCTCGAGCTGTAAAATAACGCTAAAAATTGAATACGAATGTTTTCTATTAAAGAATCTTATCACATTTATTTACTGCATTTTTTCTTTTTTTTTTATGTTTACAGCTAAGTTCTTTGTTTAATTGTAAGTTTTCATAATTATTTATTTTATATTTTTTTTACGAAATTTTTAGATAGCTCATGATACGTTCTTCAGGGCAGCTGTGTTTATTTTTAACTTTCTTTCTTTCGTTTTTTTTTTTTTTGTAGTAATAATTCTTTATATATTTATTCATTATTAGTTTACCATAGACAGAAAACTGTATACATACGTAAGTATATATGCAAATGTACTTCAAGCGCGAATTATTATTTTTATTTTTTAATTTTTAATTTAATTTTTTATTTTTATTTTATTGTATGAATACTTTGTAAAACGGGGGCTTCCTATAGTACGCTTCGATTAGTATATAATTTTTGTTTTTGTTTTTACAAGGATTTGTTGTTGTCGCTATTTTAACTATATAAAGAATATATATATATGTATGTATATATATTGAGTTTATATTAAATTTGTAATTCTTTACTTTTCTTTTACGAGTTGATTTTGTTTTTGTTTTGTTTTTTTTTTTTAATTTTTATTCAAATACTGACATTGCAATTTGCTTCATTTACGGGTCATCATACTTTTATTTGCTCAACATCATGTGATTGTCATACAAAACATTTCACATAATCTTTGAATTATTTACAATAAATCAAAACTGAAAGGTCTACGAAAAGCAAAGGAAACTTGTGTATCAAGTCAGAAGCTCAGAGCACTATTAGCTGAAAAATACATATTTTATTTGTGGTTCATTTACAATGTTAAGATCCGAGGACTAAGCTAAAACGTATCTGTGTGTTCGGTTTCTGCGTGTTTGTGTTCGTGGATAAGTTTTAGATGGAAACATTAAAATTTTGTCTTGTGGCTTTTGCTGAGAAAACTTTTAGAAAAATATTTCATTAATTTACGTACCATACACATATCTTTGTATGCCTGTATGTATATATATATATATATGTATGTATATAATAAGTATTTGTAAGTACATATGGGTTAGTTGTATATGCACTTCTTCGATAATGTCGCCACGCTCCACGCATGGCTCATCGTTCAGAGAAGCGTTTAGTTTTCCATGTATGTGTGAGTGTGTCTGGGAGTGTGTGTGTTCAAAATGCATTCCAGTTTACTTGTTGGCAGCTATATTAATATTTTCAATAAGTTTTCAATGGGGAGCTTGCGAATGCATTTCTCACTACTTCAACTTGCCCGACTGCCATTTGGAGATTTACTAAAATGTATTTGCCACACCAACTTACTTACAGCTATGGTTAAGTATATATATATATATATATGAGTGTGAGTGTGTGTGTATGAGCATGTTGGTCTCAATGCAGTAACTATGTGTATATGCATATATATTGCTTATAGTAAACATTAGGCTAACGCGCAATCTATACAACAACGGCCGAAATGCCGTCAGCGTGTTTTCATATAGCCACAAAAAACTCGAGTTTCAAATGAAAGTTAAAATCAAATATACGAGACACTTAATATACGGTTAGAGTATGGCGATTACAACTAAAGCAGCGCTATGTACAAACTGGCCTTAACCTAGCAGAAGATGGGCTGTCTAGAAGTATTTGCTGAAATTTTGGTTCCGTAAAATACAGAGCTTTGTATTTATACTCGTTCTCCATACAATATCTACGAACTATTTATACATAGCTATGCGTACAACTAATACTAGAATTATTAAACAAATATTGCTAGTTAATATACAAATTCGTTTAAGATCTTCCCATGGCCAAGCGACGTTGTCTTCTTTTTTTAGCATATTTGTATTCGATTTGTGCCGTTCGCAATGCACAAATATATAAATAATATACACAAACTGAGGCGAGAAAATGTTGAGCTCAAATATGTGCTTGAGTGTGTGTGGGTCTGTGTCGGCTGTGTGTGTCCTGTAGGTGGTTACGAGTAAATATCTTAGCATAATTTAGTTATCTTTCTTTCATTCTTGAAGCAATCTCAATCTCAATCGCAATCGCAATTGAAATAGAAGTAGAAAGAGAGAGTGAGAGAGAGATATAGATAGATAGAGAGAGAGAGAGAGACACTCTGTTCTATGTAAAACCGTATTTTCCATTTTTCATTATGGCAGGATCCTTTTGTTAGTAACTTTTTAGCGTTTACTCTTTACACTTGCTTAGCGCTTTCTGCTTCATTCTGGCTATATGTTCTCTGTGTACCTTAAAATCGAAATCAATCAAATCGGCTGCTGTTCGTGTTGTTGAATTTTCACTGTGAAACTTTTGTTATTTGATATTTGCTGTTGTTAATTCGAATGCCAAACGAAGAGCACTAAACAATTGCTATATATATGTAAATGAAGCAAAAAAACATATTGAAAACATATTGAAATATTGTCTTTCAAAAGCTTAAAAATTTCAGTCTTTGTAGTTGGTTGCTCGGCTCTTGTCACTGCTTTCTGGGTGCTGGTACTCTCCTTCCTGATGCTGCTCGTTGCTGTTGCTGCTGTTGCTGCTGTTGCTGCTGCTGCCGACTGTAAGCAAATGGAATGGCAAACATAGAAAGCAAACATTAATATCCATTTGTATATTGGCCAGGATTAGACGTGGCTTGATGTAGTTTTTGCTTGAGCTGCTGCAACTTACTTCAACTAGAGACTTTTAGAAACTAGTGCACATGGCTAGCAGAAACACGAAAATGTAGAATTGGTGGCCGAAATTGGGGCGTACACCCGCCGACAAGAACTCAGAGTTGAACAAGTACTCTGAGAGTGGGCAGCATGGTTTGAAAGGGAAGGCACAAAACAGGGCAAAGGCCATGAGTAAAATTTTTTTAGTTTTTGGGACTTGTGTAGTGGACAGGAACTAAGCTGAGTTGGCTTGGCTCACTAGTCGTATACTCACTTCTGGGTCAGACCAGGGCGTCGTTGCTAAACACATCGTTGACATGTTTGCCATTGCTGTTGCTGTTGCTGCTGCTGCTGGTGCTGCTGCTGCTGCCGCCGTTGCTGTTTGGTGCTGCTTTGTCCTTGAGGCCGCATTGCTAGAAGCACAAGCCGCGAATGTAATTAGATTCACGAAGAAATCAGAGAGCCAAAAAATAATTTCGTTAATTGCTAAGCGAATAACATGGAAATTAGGAGCAGGAATCAACGATTTGCATGAAAAATTAATTAAAACAATTAACGACAGCTGCCGCCAGTTGTTAAATGTATATTTAATTGCTTTGAATTTGGCCTACCTCCTGCTTAGCCTGCCATTGCTTCATGGCTGATTTGTATTTTTCGAACTCATTGCACCAGTGCGAGTAGATCTTCTGATAGTCCTGCTTCTGTGAAGGAGGCGAGCATCTAAGAGAGAGAGTGAGAGAGAGCAGCAGAATAAGTTATCGTCAGGTTGTGGGCCAGGAAATTAAACTTGCAGCCAGCAACATACACAAGTCGAAAGTTTCAACTTTCTAATTGCGCCACGGATATTTTGACGCCCGAGGCGCTAAATTCAAATGCCAGCCCGCCAAGGGGTGGGTGTGTGTGTTGCCTCACCTGTGCGCATCCACAGTGACGCCATAGCTGCAGAGAAGGGTGCCATCCAGATAGCTATCATATCGGCCGCCATCGCCCTCATTCACAGCCAACAATACCAAGCCGCCTTCGTTGGTCTCAATGTATTTCGTGGGGGTATAGCGCACCTCGTAACTGCAGAGAAAGAGACAGAGTGAGTGTGAGGCACAAGCAAAGATAAGGAGATTTTCTATTTGCTATATTCCAATTTTCCATTTTCAGTTTGTTTTTCCATTTGGCTGTGCGTGAAAAAGTGTCTCATTGGAAACGCACAATAAAAATCAATATAAACTGTGTGTGAAACTTTGACAGCGCCAGCTGAAACTTTTTCCATTACACACAGAGAGAGAGAGAGAGAGGGGGAGCGAGGGAGAGATGGAGAGACTACTTATTATCCGCACTGTGCCGCTGCGGTGCCTTCTCAAAGTAAGCGTAAACGCCAAACAGCGAACGGACTTCAACAACATTTTAAAGTGTCAATTTACCGCAGCGTTGGCAGCGTCGCGACGTTGGATTTAGAAACTGCTTTGGGTGGGGTGGCATCGCTAAGTGAGATGAAGCGAGGTTTCGTTTGCACTTCCGATTTCATTATTTGCTTTCAATTTTCATTGGCTCGCTTTAAGCTGGCCAACGTGGTCTCCAAGGCGCGTCTTTAAGGCCAAAATTCAATTCGAAGAGCTCAACTCACCGTCCTTTCTCCGTGGAGTGATGGTACCAGCGCGTCTGCTTCTTGCGCAGCACATCGGGCATCTTGACGAAGCAGGACAGGTGCAGCGTCTGGCCGTAGGAGGAGGTGACGCGCTTGCGCAGCACGCTCGTATCGCATATGCCGGACGTCTCGTTGGCCACGTCCTGCAGCAGGCCCAGCTGGTAGGGCCGGCAGGCGTTGACCTCCTTGTCCCAGCCGCAATAGGGATCTGCCACGCAGCGGAAGCAGCTGTCGTAGCGACGCGCGCACATGGCTAAATCGATCTGCTTCACCTGATGATCAGTAGCCAGATAGAGTGAGGCTGTCTTCTGGCTGAGCGTCAGTTCGCGTATTGGCTCGTTGCGCGGCGACGCCTCAAAGATATCCACCAGATTCGAATGCCGTTGGCCGTAGTGCATGAACTGAACTATTTTATAGATGTGTCCAGTGCTTGTGGCCACAAAGTAAACGAGAAACTCCTGGTTCAGTTTGTCAATGCGTATTCTATAATAGACAAAGAGATAGAGAGAGGGAAAGAGAAAGAGAAGAGAAAAGAGTTGAGTTGATAAATCGCACAAGTCTCCTGTGCCGACAGTTTTTGTGCAACAAATCTCAAATGCACGCGACTTGGCTAACTTTTTCTCTCTGGCTTCTTTCATGCTGTTTTTTTTTTTGTGTGCAGCAGCAAAACAAAGCGTTTAACTAAAAGCATATCCTGCGGCGCAATGTTCATAAGTTCCGGCCAAGTTATTTTACAAGTCGTTATGCCACACAACAACAGTCGGAGCTGCTGCTGGAGCAGTACAAAAAAAACAGCATTTTTGTGCTGTCAGTGAGCGAGTGCTCCCAAATGTCAGCATTGGGCTGGCAGTTGCCCCGACTGCGACTGTGACTGTGGCTGTGGCTGTGGCTGTGGCTAGTGCCAGCGAGTGCACTGTATAAACTTGGCAAATGTCAACAAGCCGAGGCGAATACGTGGCTGGTTGCCAAGCGAGGCCGCCAGAGGCAACTGTGGCTGCAGCTCGCTAATGAATACATTTACACATTTTACTTACTTGTCGACGACGAGGCGGGTGAGTATAACGTCTCGTTTGTAGAATACAGGATTGCCAAATTCATGATCGACCGCCTTGTCCATTAGCGGATGTTTGCGTATGAAATTTAACACAGAGTCCGGCAATGTTGCGGTGTCGTTGTGGCATGTGCCCGGACGTGGCTCCGGCACTTTTGAGTTCAGCACTGGCAGCCAGGCGCTGTTCGATGTCGCCTGCTCCTTGAACTTGCCTGCGCGTCAGCCAAAAGAAAGAGAAACGAAAAGAGAAAGAGAGAGCGAGAGCGAGAGAGTGTTACATTTTATAGGTTGCATAAATGTGCAGCGCTGAAAAGTATGCTATGTTAAATTTATGTGTGTCAGCGCTGTGGTAAATGATAAATTACTGAGCTCGCAGCGCTGATTTGTGGCCCCAAGCCCGGAGTCTGGCCAAAAGTAAAACAGTTCGAGCTACTAATTACACACACACACAGCTCTTGGAGTGTTTGCTGCATAATCATTTGTTTTTCATAATTAATTACTTTGGCAATAGCTCTGCTATATTTTTTCACACATTGTTCTATTTTTTTATACATCCTCTACGCCTGTGTGTGTGTTGCAACATGCCCGCAAAACTTTTCATAATGAATTTTAAGTGTATGCCAGATTTTTTACTGCCATTTGCCTTTTGGCGCTGTGTCTGCTGTCTGTCTGAGTGAGTGCTCTGGCAGAGCTCCATGCACACAATTTTATGGTGTTAATGAACTTTTGAGCAAAGTGCTGTCACACACCCAGAATTTGCGTATGCGTTTGGCTCCACTTGCATTTGGCAACGGACGTTGCAAATAAATTTATGTATGTAATTTGTAAATACAGTCATCACACGATAATAAGAATTGCCATAAATATTTAAAATAAAATAAGAAATGTATTTTTATTGATATGACATTGAAGACTTTCGTTGGGAATGATAGAAGTTGTAGCAAGACTTAAACTTTTAATTGATATTAAAAGGGAATTTTGAAATTTTGTTTTTCGCTTATTCAATAGCATCAGACATAGCCAAGCTTCACTCTAAAATAATTTCAAGTTTTGCTTAAGGAATTTCACTCCATCATTCGTAAGTTGGATTCAGCAACAATCGCTAAAGGAAATGAATTTCAGAACTTTACACAAAATCAGCAAATGTCGCTGTCGTTTCAGACAGTTCGTACATGGAATGGAGGCTAGGTACATGCACACACAATATATATGAGCACATTGTGTGCAGTGGCAGCTGAGGAGAGTGCCACTAGGATTTAAATATATGACATGCATTTCGAGGTGCATGCCAGATTTTGTTGCATGCGTTTCGATTGCGTGTGGCTGGCAGGCTGCAGGCTGGCAAGCAGCAGCACGTGGGTTGTTAGCACCTGTCACGCATATCTAGTTACCGTTAACCATGCAGCACGCCAGCAGCAGCCGAGGCGTTTTGTAGCAAACGTTAAAGCATTTAAAGCCGCACAACGACCCCCAGTGGCAGGCACATCAATTCAGCTCGCACCATTTAACGCTAAAATGCCAAAGCTTCTCTGCACGACACACACACACACACACACACCCATGCAGCACCTGTGAGCGTAATTTCTTCCGGCAGCTGCAGCCCTACGTAATGGGAAATGCTGGAAGAAGTCAAACGTAGCCGCATGCACGTTCGTAAAAATGGCGCCGCAGAGAATTATTGCCAATGCAATAAATCTCACGCTTACACTCGCAGACGCCGACACATACACAGGCACGCCCACTGCCTACCCCCTATCCTCTTCCCAACTGACTCAAACACTCACACACATATTTCATGCAGTCACCCACTAACCTTCAAAGGCCGCATTGATATCCCGTATATCGTAGCTGCAGACGGCCGAGCCAATCAGTCCGTTTGTATTCGTTGTAAACGTGGCATAGAATTTGCTATCATCGTTGGGCATCTTGTAGACGGACTGTATTTCGTTGAAGTAGAAGGGAAACTCGCTCGAGATGCTGCAGTTCATGCGCGCCTTCAGATACGTCGCCCAGTTCTGGCTGATCATGTATTTGCCGCCGCGATCGTTCTTGCAGACGCGTGCCACACGCGAATAGACGGCCTTGCCGCAATTGATATACTCCACGGCATGCTCACGGAAGAAGAAGTAGACAAAGTCGCCAATGTCGAAGGAGCCAACGAAATTCGGTTCTGAAATAGGCAGTGCAACAAGACATTGAGTTAGTCAAGGAAATTTTCAGTATAAATGAGGAGCAGCTTTAGATGGAAATGTATATTTATATTTGAATCAAAGAATTTTTTATAGATATTTGATTAAGTTTATGTACTTATAATAACCTGGATCTATAGAAATTGTTCTACATTACTTAATTTATAACTTTTGCATTTTTTTAAAGAAACCTTTAGAATTATATAACATTCGTATGCATAAATTCGAAAGGCCATAAATTTGCATTGGCATATGACTTTTATTTAGATTAAAATAAAAAATTTGTAGAAATAATAAAAACTTGAGAATTTATTCTCTATGGCTCAATATGACCTTTAGCCTTGACTATGTGCTTGAGCCTTTACGGCATCGAAGGTGACTTGGCGCTCGCTTGACCCACTTATGGGCAATGGCTTTCTTTAGCTTGTGCCTGAATTTACATATATTCAGAAGAATTATTTTATTCTTCTCTATTTAGCAGGCAATAGAGCAGTTCGCCACTCAGTAACAATTTTTAAAAAATAAATTTGTGCTACTAAATGCTATATGCAAAATGATTGAAACGAACTTAATAAATGAACAATTAAATTCAAATTTTTTTGTAATATATCAAACATTTGTTTAAGAATATAATGAACTGTACTTCAATTTATATATTAATTTATTTGATAGAAAATAAACTTAAATAAGAAAATTTCAAAGTGGTACAAATACTTACTGTCAAGCAATTTGGAGTCATATTTAACTGTGCGCTTGAAGTTGGCCTCTTTGCGGCCGTTGGTGAAGTTGAAGAGGTCCGAGCGAAATATAACCGAGTCGGCCTTAGTGAATTCCGCATTGGTTCCCGCGTACTGCATAGAGAAGTAGAAAGTGGAAAGTGGAAAGTGGAAAGCGGTGAGCAGAGGGAAATGGATTATGCTGAAGTCTCTGTGCTGGATTGCAAGCAATGCCGGCAAATTAGCGCCAAATATTCGGGAAATTTGATTTTCCAAGGCAAAGGCGAAATGTAGCACACGCATACACACGCACACACACACACACGCACGCACACAGAGGCACGCACACAATTACGCGTAAAGTGTAAGCACGTGCCTCAGACCCGATTCTTTGCAAGTGTTTGGCTCTGCGTGTGTACATGTGTGTGCGTGTGTGTGTGTGTGTGCGTTTCACTCTAATTTAATTTCAGCTGCTTTATTGCGACTCTTTTAAATTTCTTGCCATTTGGCCTCCCATAGCCGCACAGAACTTTGTCGCTTCGCGCCCTCCTTACGCCACTTCCTTCTGGCTTGCTTCCTTTGCTCCTTCTCTTTGGCTTTACTTTACTTTTGTAATTTTATTACAATTGACATTTTTCCCTTTTTTTCGTGCTTTTCTCTTTGCTTTTATTTTTCTTTCCGTCGGCATTACGAGAGACTCGGGTGAGACTTGGACTTACCAGCGCAGGCAAACCAAAGGGATTTCCGTTTTCCACATAGACGGCGGTTGAGTTGTCAGCGGGATCGTAGGGACACTTGCCGATGCCCAACCCTATGCCGGGCACGTACTGGGATCTGGGTAAATGTGTTAAGTTCGCCTGCCGGGGTTGGAGATGGAGGAAAGGAAAGCGCATTAGTTGACTTTAATTTTGGAATTTGTTGCTGCAAAATTAACTTCCAGCCTGACTGACATTCACAATTAGGCGCTGACGACGTTGCTGAATTTTTTATGCAAAAATATAAAAAAATATTTATATATTTTCGCTTCTCTCTACTCACATTTATAACGTAGTCCTTGGGGTTGTGCGCATTGGTGCCGCAGACGTAGAGTCGATGTCCATTGAAGTTCATGGGCTGAATGACGCGAATGTGATTGCGGCATTCCACCTTCTTGACATGTGCCCGAATGTTGATTCAATAAAAACAAATGTTTAAGCAAAATAATTGTGTATTGTGTGTCGGTGTAATGGATTATAATGGGACAGACAGAAAATGTGAAGGCAATGCATAAGTATCGAATCGAGATGAAGGCCGCAATATTTGCATGCAATTTTGTTAGATAATTTTGCATGGGCAATGGATATGTATAACTAGATAAATCTTTCCAAATAAAACGCACCTCTCGCTTGCCCTTGGACACACAGTTGAGTATATCGGAGCCGGTGGGTTCTAGTATGAGAACATCGCGCTGGAAGTATACGAAGAAAAAGAAAACAATATGAGCAAACAAATGGTTTCTTAAGTACTTAAAGCGTTTGCTCCGCTTTGCCCCAATGCGATACGCTTAACAAATATTCCAAAAAGTTTATTGAAAGCGTGATAAAATTTCATGCTTATCAAGAAGGCAACGCGACAGGCAAAACAACAACAGCCACAACAAAAGAACGCGCAACAATTGGAGATTTCTTTTATTTATATATATATATATATATATATATATATATATGTGTGTGAATGTATGTGGAGTGTGTGTATTTATTGTATGTAGCAGAAACACGTACAATCAAGACGCCCATCTCATATGCCAGTATTTGTGAAGTGAACATATATATATTTCTCTCTCTCTCTCTCTCTCTCTCTCTCTCTCTCTCTCTCTCTCTCTCTCTCTCTCTGTCTCTCTCTCTCTCTCTCTCTCTCTCTCTTTTTCTGTGTACATATTTTTCCGACTGTGCCTGTGCCTGAACTGAGCTGCGCTGCTCTTTATGTTTAGCCATTGTTGTTGTTGGTATTTCACTCACGTTGGGCATTTGTTTATTTAATTCGATTTTCGCCTGCACTTGAATTTTGAACGCCAATGCCATTTATTGCAAAAGGAACGAAAAAAATGATTTTAAGAAGGAAAAAAGCCGTCGAGTTGATTGGGAGCTAGAAAAGGCGACATTACATTCCCGCACGCTGCACGTAAAATAAGTTTTTCTTTCGAGTTTGGCCATCGTTAATGCGCATCGCTTGTGTATTCAAGGAGACGCACATAGAGAAATCTCAGAGTTGACACACTTTGCACTGCGGCCATGTGAACACAATATCCTGCCCTGCTGACAGTTTGCAGTTTGCTGCTCCGCTTTGCTTGCTGCACTTTAAGAGGCGCCTGCCTCTTCGGGATGCGGCTAAGTGCTCGGATTCAACTTGAAACGCAATTTGCGAGCACGAACTCGGCTCTAGCAGTTTAGGAGTCAGCACAAATAATTGCCGTTGAAAGCATTTGCCGCCGACTGGGCCGAAGTGCCGCAAGGATGACTCAAAAGATGTGGCAAACGCCGGCAAATGGTAGCAGTCCAGTCCAGTGCGCAGCACTACTCGCTGCGAAATGCTGGTGCGGACTAGCCAACTGCCAATTCAATGAACTTGAAACGGAAACGGATATTGATAGTTGAAGACGAAATCATTAAAGTGCAATTGTGCGCCTCTGCCGCTGACTCTGGGCGTTGTCTAGATCTTTCGCCGGCGGATGCGAGGGCGAACACAAAAATGCCAAGTTTTTCAACTTCGATACGGGCTGGCAGTTCCGAATATCGTAAATCGCAAATACTTTATGGTTTTAAATCACTTGCAATAAAATCTAACAAATAAATATCGATTAATGAAAAGAAGAGCAAAGAAAATTTTGTAAAATAAATAACTAAATAACTCGACATCCGCCATGGCAAATGCTTTTGTTCTTATTTATTGCCCATAAACTCTGCGATATTTGTCAACTTCTTTGTCTCTGATTCTTTCTTTAAATGTTATTCTGTACATGTCATCAATTCAAGCCAGTCCATACACAGTGTGTCACATAGTTAGTCTATGCTTAATAATATTGGCATTGTAGAACAAATTGCTTTTAGCAGTTTGACACTTTGAATTAGTTTTGTAAATTAGTCTTAACGAAAATGTATTGATTTTATGTGCATTTATATATCTTTGTGCTTTTGACACTTTGCGCAAGAGCTTAGCTAAAAATAATTTACTTTGATTTCATATAAGTTTTATATTTGACTACTAAGAAGCCTTTGCTTGGCGAGCGCTAGAGACCAGGCAGGCAGGCAGGCAGCATTGCTGTGGGGCTCAGCAACTGGCGCTGGGCTAAGCATTATTATTTAAGAGCGGCTCAATAGAAGAGCTTTGTAAGAGATTCAGATTTATTAAGAGATGACTATTCTGCGCTATTCTCTACATGCGTGGCTTGATCGTGCTCAGCCGGCGCTCGTTGCTCTAGCATAAGAAGAGAAACTGATTATCACTCGATGAGTGCTGAGTGTTCGTACCTCGGCAACTCTGGCTAAATTGACTGTCTACATGCATATATAGAGTAGCGGGCAGTACAACAGCAAAATTGAGCAAACTTAATACAAGCAATAAAGTGACTTTAAATATTTCATAAATTTCTTTTCAGTTAACTAAAAGCCTCAGTAGCTTATTAATTTTATTTATATATTTATTTTGTTATTTATATATTTATATATTTACTTTTATTTTTATTTATTATTCTTATAATAATTATATATATTACTTATATAGATAATAACTGACTAGACTTTGTAAATTATGCAAGTTTATATTCCTAGTTTGTGCAACAGTTACTAAATCTTAAATGCTTAGATTTAGGCAGTCTGAAATGGCAATTACGAAGACACTTTTAAAGCAATACAAAAAAATCATAATTTTGTTTATTTTACTAGAACTTTATGTAAAACCTAAAAATAAATAAGTGCATCATATTCAGAGCAAAACTCTTGAAAAAAGAAAGAAAAAGAAACGTATCGCAGCCAGACATATGCTTAAACAAACTTATGAATAGGTGTGAGTGTGTGTGTGTGCGTGTGTATACTTATGTAAGAGCATGTCACAAAGTGTGCGAACACAAACAGCAGCCAAACACAAGCTCGACAAACATCTTCAGTGACTGTCTGGCCAGGTAAAAAGCCTGCAAGTGAGTTTAACGTGTTCGTATGCATACGTGTGTGTGATTGTGTGTGTGAGTGTGTGTGTGTGTGTGTGTGTGTGTGTGTGTGAGTGTGTCAACAACATTCTGTCTGGCAAGCAACACTCAAGTGACTAAAAGTGTCTGCCCGTGTGTGCAGGTGTGTGTAAGTGTTTTGTGCATTTATATGCGCTTTTATAATACCCTAGACTCTTAGCTTAGGGTATGCTGATTTGCAGCGAATGCAGGTAACAAACAGTATTAAAAGCGAACTCAATGCTAACGCTGTCTATGTCATTATATCAGTTGATACGAGAGCTAAAGTCAGTTTAGCTGTCACTGATAGGCTCTTGTTTCTATGGCTCTACTCTAAGTTTAAATGAAGGGTATATCGCAGTCAATCGCAGCCAACTGGCAGCTGTTTTACGTGTGTTTTCTTAACACTTGTTTGTACCTGCAGTCAATTGAGATTTGACTTTAACATTTACTTTTGCTTTTGCACTTGCGCCTCATTTCACTTACCTCGCATATCGATTGGCTGATGTTGCGCAGATTCAGGCGAAAAATGCGATCCCTGCAAGAGATAATGAGAAATATATTAACGTTGGTTGTTGTTGTTGTTGTTGTTGTTGTTTCTTGCAGATATGTGGCGGCTCGAGTGACACTTGAGCTAATCCCGCGCTCGTGCCCTGACATACGATAAGTTAATGCTCTGATGTGCTGCAAAACGCAATCAGCAGAAGAGCGTGACCTTACACACACACACCCGCACACACACGCACACACACACACATAACTGCCAAACGCAGGAAGTAAAGCACAGAGATTCAACGTCTGCGGCTGAGCAGAAGCCGTCAGTTTGTCAGTTGGCGGCATCAGAACGACTTTCGAGAACGACTCTGCCTGCTGTCAAGCAATTGAAATTGTCTATTTGCCGGCGTATCTCCGTCATCTGAGTGTGTGTGCGGGAGTGTGTCCCTGTCTCTGTGTATGTGTGTGTGTTTGGTATTTTTGAAAAATCGTTGCGTTGCACTTGGCTGAAGCGCAGCACCTGCTCGTCACCGGCGGCCTGTTACGTTTATTGCACTGTTCGGGTCCGTGATTGATTGATTGATGGATTGATATATCGATGTCGCAATATTGCGTCCAGGGGCAATGGCGCCCGGTCGCCCAGTTATGCGGACCAACTTTAAACGGCAACCATTCCCCACTCCCTCTTTGGCCACCCACTCGAAAGTTTGTGGCGGCTCGACTGAAAAGGGGAACGCGTCGACGCCGAAACTCGGTGCTAAAGTGTGTTTTATGTAGTTGCCGGCAGAGTTTTAGGCGCTGGCAGTGCGGCGCCCCGACAACTCGAAACCATTAATCTTCATTTCCAGACTAGGGGAAGCAGCAGCAGTAGTGGCAGAAACAGTCGCTGATGATGCCCCGACGACCGCTGCCGGCTGCCGGCTGCGTAGGAAAAATGGCGCTCGAGTCAAGTGGTAATTTTGGTTACTTTGTTTGCCTGCTTTTTTCGGAGGGAGGCGAGACCGCAACTGTTAAAATGCGGCCATGTTCAACTTGCGGCAGACAAATGAGCAGACGACGACGGGCATTGTCAAATTGAGCTCCGACCTGCTCCCTGCTCAGCTCTCTGACCCCGACCCCGACCCCGACCTCGACACCGACCCGACCCGACCCGACCCGACCCGAATGGACCCTTACCGCAGCCTCAGTGCCTCAGCCTTAGCTCCGTCGAACCGCACGTCAAGCATTAATTCATAATTATGTATGCCGTAAGTGCTGCCAACAACTCTAGGCACTTTGGACGCTGGGCTCTCAAAAATGAAATATGCAGCTTCGAATGCGTTGAAGCTTTTTGAGTAGCTGCTTTTAGTGGCAGCCGGAAGTTCGCACAGTCGAACCGGAAGTTCGTAATTAACGCTCACGGATGCGGATTTGAGGACGTCAAATGCCAAACCGCAGCGCACTTAGACAACAGTCACACTCGTATAGACCCAGCCCTTAGTCCTTGATAGTTCTGTACTTACATGGCGCCGACATAGAGCGCATTGTTGCGCTCGTCCATGTAAAAGGTTTTGTAATGCAGCGGGCCGCAGCTGAAGTCCTTGACATGCTCTGCAAGAGAGAAGAATACGTTTCATATAAGTACATTAAGTATACGCCTCGTAGAATGTGTAGTGCTTATTAAGTATACGCCACGCTGTTAATCTAGATAGCAAATCAAAGTAAACAAAAGCTCAACATGTTTAAACCTGAACTGAAACCTGGACCCTCTGCAGATCCCAACTTCAGTTAATTAAAGTTTATGCATCTATTAATGAAACTGTCAGCAGCAGCGTGTGTCAGGCGTACAAAAAACCTAATTAAACTATTATAATTTAGCTGAGAAAGCTAATTTATGGGGCGGCTGCAGGCGCAGCATCAAGACAAAAGAACTTGTGTATAAAACAGGAACAATACACCAAGGCACACACACACACACACACACTTGCATGGCAGTTGTAAACAAACAGCACGGCGCGGCCTTGCAGATTTGACAGCGACTGCGAGCCGAGTGTCACGTACTCAGAAACGTCACGTGCGACGCTTGTCTGAAATATGTGTGTGTGCGAGCGAGTGTGCGTGTGTGTGTGTGTAGGTAGCACCACTGTCAATGCCATTAACGAAAGATTGAGGCATTTAGCTAAAATTTTTACGACATTAAGTTGTCAACTAATTTGGCGCAATTAGCAGCGAGAGAAAAGGCGAGCAACTTTTTAGTCCTAGGTCACGTTAGGCAAATCCTTTGATGGCAGCGCTAAGAGTCAATTTGTGTTGTGTCCTCGATGTCAACATACACAATAAAACAGCAACTAATGAGCAGCCCCAAAACTTGAGCCGTCATAAACAAAAACAACACATAAAAAAAAGAAGAAGAAGAAGAGCAAGAACGACGGCAATAATAGCAGAAGAGGCTCATCAAAATGAGCAAAGCCTGGGCCAGTTTCCTAGTGATTTGCATAATAATAGATACATAATGAATAATAAGCAAGTATCTATGTAAATAGTCGCTGCTCAATGGGCGAGTCCACAGGGCAGGCTCACTTGCTGACAAGTTGACTCTTATGCAAATTAGTCATTGTTGACCAGGCCCTGGCCTTTAACTTGAGCCGAGTTATTTTAACGATTCGTCGTTTTTGGTTTATTTCTTTTTTTGTTTCGCTTGATGCAGCATTAAATTAACTATCTTGAGAATATAGTCGGAAATATTTGATTCGCATCAGAAGACTTGAAACTTAAACTTAGATAGCTTTGATTTTCAAAAACTCTTTTTTCAAATTTTGTTTTTGTATTAATAAACAGATCTTTTAGGCTTTAACGTGCACTGACTGATAAATTAGCGGTATCCAGATGGCCTGTAGCTCCTTAAGACTTAGCTTTAAACTAAATTTAAGGTGCGTAGACGAGAGTTTTTGTTTCTCAGCTTCTCTCCCATATTCTTCGCAGCTCTTTTTTGGCTAACAAGCACAAGAGCAGTGTAAATAAAACGTGTTTCATTCATTCGAACGTATTAAAAACGGATTATCGCAAAATTATTGATCCCAAGTATAACAAGGTAAGCGCCATATGGGGGTTGTGGGCTCATAATAATCGAGGATAACCGTACACCAGGGTACCGCCTTCACCCACAAAGAACGTCAGATACTAAATATCATTGGTCTGTATCCGAGCTGTCAGCGTACCGAAGAGGAACAGCTTTATGCAGTCTATACGAATTTCAAGGCCAAAAAGACCAGCATCGATCGCTATATTTATCTCAGATCGCTGCGAGCTCGACAGGAGCGTCTTTACTATCGCTTCGTTATCGAGCGCATCGAAGATGTGATGCCCATCGTGTACACGCCGACGGTAGGTACAGTCTGCCAGCAATTTAGCCAGCTCTACTACACCTCTATGGGGCTATACGTGAGCAAGTATGACAAGGGGTATATGACGCATGTGCTCAATAACTGGCCGGAGGTCGATATACGGGCTGTGTGCGTCACTGATGGCGAGCGTATTCTTGGACTGGGCGATCTTGGTGCCAACGGAATGGGCATATCGGTGGGCAAGCTGGATTTGTACACAGCATTAGGAAAAATACCGCCTCAGTACCTGTTGCCAGTTGTCCTCGACGTTGGCACCAATAATCAGCAGCTGCTCTGCGATCCCATGTACATCGGCGTGCGCGAGGAACGATGTCGGGGTCAAGAGTACGATGACCTAGTACACGAGTTCGTGGAATCAGTAGTTAAAACTTTTGGCGTACAAACGTTAATTCACTTCGAAGACTTTGCCACACCCAATGCCTTCAGGTTTATCAAAAAGTACAAAAACGATTATTGCTGCATCAACGATGACATACAGGGCACAGCATCCTGTGGCCTAGGTGGTTTCCTCGCCGTCGAGCACATTACGCGGAAGCCACTCAATGAGCACATCATCATGTTCGTCGGCGCTGGCAGCGCAGCGCTGGGCATTGGCAAGCTGCTGGTCAAAGAGCTAATAAGCCGCAAGATGAACGTAGAGGATGCGGTCAGGAATGTTTATTTTATCGACGTTGACGGCATTATAACGAAATCCCGACAGAAATTTGTTATACCTGACCTGAAGCAATTCGCCAAGGACATGCCGCCCGAAAAGAGCCTTGAGAAGCTGGTGGACACTCTGAAACCCTCGATTCTGGTTGGCGCCACCGGTCAGGGTGGGATCTTTACGGAAAACATTATACGTAGCATGGCCAAGAATCACAAACATCCGGCTATCTTGGCATGCTCCAACCCCACCCACAAAGCCGAGTGCACCGCAGAGCAGGCCTACAACTTCACGGAGGGCCGAGCTCTGTTTGCCTCTGGATCACCTTTTCCACCAGTTGTTGTTGGCGGCAAGCGGATCACGCCAACACAGGCGAACAACGCATTCGCCTTTCCGGGCGTTGCATTGGGTACGTTATGCACCAAGCCACACACTATAACGGACGACGTATTCCTTGTTACGGCGCATGCAATTGCCGAATATGCGAGAGAATTTCAACCCAATGACAATGTACTCTACCCGCCCGTTAAGGAAGCTGCCAATGTAGCTTTCAGAGTGGGCGTGGCAGTGGCGAAACACGTAATCCAAAGTGGTGCGGCCACAATTTATCCGATTCCCAAAGACATCGTGAAACACATAAAAGACTATCAATACTTTACAGACGTCGGAACGGCACTGCCATCGGTTTGGCCGTACCCAGAGATGACTCGATTTCCTATGCCAAAAACAAACGAATGACAAATGCAAGGACTCAGCAGGCTTATGTATTATTTATTATTTATTTCTGTTTGTGCAACGGGAAAAAAATAAGACAACGTTAGGCATAAACGGCAATTAAATAAAGCTTTTCAATTGGTAAATTACTCAACTACGCCTATGCCTAGCTAAGTCTCGGCTTGCCACTGGGTCAGGCTGCCGTATTAGGAAATTATCCAGACTTCTGAGAGGGCAAGGCGACGATAGTCATTGGCATATGCCAGCACATGGCACATGCAACAATAGCAACAAATGCGACCCAAATAGCGTCAGCAAAATGTTGAGAATTTTAACGTCATTATTGTCTGTCAGGACGACATTGACATACGTATGCACACCCATATGTGTGTGTGTGTGAGCGTTGCTGCTTTGCATATAAAATAAAGCGAGATGTGTGCTCACCAAAAATGTCAATCAATTTTTTTTAAACGTCCTGCGTACATATATTTGTTTTGCCTTTGCCTTGTCCTTGCCCTCTCTATCTCCATCTCCAGCTCCGTCTCCGTCTGTCCGCCTGCCTCTCGTCTCTCGCGCTGCCTGCCAGGACATGCATGCATTAAAAAGCAATTGGTGTTAAAGGAGCAGTCACGTTGTCTGCCTGTCTATCAGGCTGGCATGTGGTTGCGCCAGCATGAAAGACCCTACTCCAGCACCAATTGGTGTGAAAAGGACACACACATATACATATACAATACCCGTTAAAATATACAGAGAAGGCACCGCCAGCTCGATATGGTGGCACAAAAAAAATGTAAAATCATTTTCTTCAACTGACAGCTGTCAAAATATTTGCTCTCTGTCAACTGCGCGCGTTGTTGTTGGCCAAGCTGCGTCTTCGATTTTCCCACCATCTGTGTGGGTGTGCATGCGTGTGTGTGCGGGTGTGCGGGTGTGAAGTGTCCCTGCAAATTTCATTTTAATATTCATTACTTCACACTATAATGCTGAAGGTTATCATTGACCGGCCCCGTCTGCTCTGTTTCGGGTTTCGTTTTCATTCCTTCAGCTTTTTCTTTCATTTTTCCATTTGACCTTTTTCTTCTGTTTGGCTTAAAGTGTGAGAATGAATTTAATTTTTAACACAAATTCAGACACTGGCCAAAATGCAAATCTCATGTTTTGCTGAGCTCCTCCTGGCGGCGCTCGGCTCCAGTTGCCATGGCTTATGGAATTTAATTGCCTATAAAAAGAATGTGCGCGGCTTGTTGCTGCTGCTGCTGTTGCTGAATGGGGCAAGTCAGCTTAGCTGAGTCGTAAATTTTGAGTGCCCAACGCCCCAGAGAGAAACTGTTGCCATCGATTTGCGGCAAACGATAAACGCTTGAATCTAAATGCCGCCATCAGAGGTTAAGCACTGTTAGCCAGCCACGCTCGCTGATTATATAGTGCGTCAGCATATAAATCTTATGGCAGATAAAACATGCGGCATCTCGGCATCTCAGACAAAACTGGCTGCAGTCGAACGACAGGCGACATTTGCATCAAATACAAGTCAAGTGCATTAAACGCAGCCAAGCAGGCAATCTAGTCGCATGTAGTCGACTGCCTCTGGTAACTAGGTCGGCAGTTGATTATGCAAATGCATTGCGGCTATGTGGACGTCTTGTAAAACATACATGCGTCACAGTCAAGCAATGCGTTGATTAAGTTTTCATTGCTCATACGCCCGGGTGTACCCTGCGTTTGGTCAACTTGACTGTGTACAGTCGGTAAGTAGCCTCAATAAACACAAAAGCCTACTGAGGCCGTGCTCTGGCCGTGCTGGGGCTTCTACTTCATCTTTTTAAAGATTTTCATTTATCTGACGGCAAAAACGTTGGCCACAACGATAACGCTCACAGCAGCCGCCCGACTGGAACGAAGGCAAAACAAAAAAGCGAAGAGCAGAAAAAAAAGAAAATAATGCCGCACTTAAATCCATTTAAGCGAATTTTTCAAGCATTAAATTTGCGTTTACGTTACGTATACTTAACTTCCAATGGCAACGCCCGCGCCCAGGCTACACAGCATGCCCCAGTCAACTAGCGGCAGGTAAAAATTGCCACAGAGCGAAGAAAAATTCTTGAATATTTTTCTTTAGCTTGAGGCTGGTAGGGTCTGGTGGGGGCCTCTGAGAACGTATTTGCATCATTTGTTTCAGCAGGTTTTGAGGGCGATGCTCACACCTGGTACACTCTGCTCACATGGCCAATGCATTTGCCTGACTTCGAATCGCATTTTTGGGTTAGCCTGCTCATGTGTGTGGGTGTATGTGACATTTGTGAGCTTTTGCTTTTGCCTCACATTTCACTTATCCAATGGCCGAGCAGCAGCAAAAACAGACGCACTCATGCGTTCGCTGCTCAGCTTTATGTCCTGGGCAACATTTCTTGTGCTGCGCTCTTCATTGTTATTGCTGTTGTTGTTTTTTGTGGCCATGTAAATTACTTGGCCAGCCCAGCCCAACCGTGTCTAAATCCCCCATCCCCACGCTGGTTTCTTATCTGCGCTTTGCATGCCGCACACTCAACTCCGCTTCTTCCAGACGAACTGAGTCAGCACTTAATTTTTATTTGATTTTACTTCACTTAGAGTGGGGCGAGAGAGTGCGTCATTTTTTATGGCATTAATTTTACAATGATTGGGCGCCAAGCACCACCGACAACATTGCAACACAAAATGGCCGCCAAATTTACAAACAAGTGAGCGGCGACGCCAATGCCAGCAGTGGCAAAGTCAACTTTATTAGGACACATGTCAGTGCGGCAGGCAACGGCAAAGGCAATGAGAACCGATTGCTCTATGAGAAAATTGCCAGGAAAATCAGTTCATATGAAGACAGCAGCACGCGCTGTGGCAACAGCAGGTGTTGACAGACTTCAGCTTGATTTGTCAGCAGCAACACCTGGCCAGCCCCCGTCTCTCTCTCGCAGATGCCGCCCTCCATTCACGCAGTCGAGTGCGTGCCTGTGTTTTCATTAGTGTCTCTCAGAGTTTGTGTTTCTCATTTCATTTTACGTACAGTGCCACTGCAGCTTGCCAGCCAAGGCCTCTGTCTAATACACTACAAAAAAAGGGCAGCTCTTTGCTGGGCTTACTAGAGCTCAAGTATCGAAGAGACATGTGTTGAGTTGAGATAAAAGTTTGGCTCTTTAATTTAATATCTATATCTAAATTGCTCGCAGTGTAAGCCTATTACACACCTTTAATACACCTTTAATTATGTGTACCTGTGTCTGTGTGTGTGTATTGAATTGAAGCTGCATTAACTTGGCTGTCTGGCTTTAAGTTTGCTTTTGGTGGCCATGCATCAGGCTTATCTCCGGTCCGGCAGCAGAAACTGTCGCACAAATCTCGGACCATTTACCAAAGTCAGTTGGCTCTGTTCACAGGCAGCTCTCACATTGTGTAAGTGTATGTCTGTGCAGAAATGTATGTTCGATATTTAACAGCTTCCAGTTGAGCGAGTTCGGGCCATATGCAAAGAGGCAAAGTGTGCGCCAACTGCCTGTTGGCTTAAATTTAGCTTTGCCGTTGGCAAGTTTGCTCAGCGCTTTGTTCGAGCACATCAACTTGCCGCAATATATATATATATATATCGTTATATATATATGTCTGTAAGTGTATGTGTGTCTGCAAAACAAACGTTCGGTACAAATAGCTAGCTGGCACTGTAAAAATCCAGTCAGGTAAACAAGACGGTGTCGGCGGCGCCCAACAGTGACGTGTAGAAGTAAGCACCTGGCATTTGTGTTGAGCACGTTCGTACCTTATGTGGGATTTAGTTTTAGACTTCATTTTACTGCGCAGTGCTTTTGGTTTCATTTTGCTGCCGCTGCCGCTGCTGCTGCTGCTGCTGCTTCTTTATGCCGTTTTATGATGGCCGCAAAACCGTGCCGTAAAAAGCAGCGACAAAGAGAGAGTGCAACAGCGAGAGAGACGCAGAAATGTATAGTAAAATAAAGCCATAGACAAGCAGTCCGCCTGTCAGTACTTGAACTAAATACACACACACACCGACACTTACATTAAGATATAGTTCATACCATAATGCACAACAGCAGCAGTGGGAGAGGCGGCCACATAGACAATGCTGTCATCTAAAAACACAAACGTGCAATTGTGTTGCTGTAAATGTGGCCAAGACTACAAATGTGTGCGAGTGTGTGTGAGCGTGTTCTCGACATGAAACGGCGTGGGAATATATTACAAGTTGGCTGCCGCCGCTATTACCAGAAGTATGTCAGTGGCCTGCGGCTGGCGCTGACTGGAGTCAATGGCAGCGACATCTTAAAGCGAACTAACATAAATATTTAAACAGGCGCCAAAGCAATATGCAACATAAACAGACAGGCCACGGGTCATGGGCTCTGCTCCTTGGCTCATTTGGCTTGCAGCCCAGATCGTTGCAATGCAGCTGGGAAATAAGGCGAGCCAGGCAATTAGATGGCAGCACGGACAAGAGCGCCTCAAGTGCAAAGCAGTCGAGCTGGTTAACTCACTCAAATCAAGCCAGGGCAAGGCGAACTACGAACGTGTTCAACTTTAAGTCCAATTGCAGTTTGGCCAAACAAAAAGCAAACTACATAATTCAGCAGAAAATTTTATGTCTTCATCTTGAAGAGTCAGCAGCTCACATATATGTGCCTCTACGTGTCTCTATATGTGTGTGTGTGCAACTGCAAGAGGAAACATTAGCAAGTCTAGACACCTACGTCATGCGTCATGGCAGCACCGAAACGTGAGCAGGAAGAGCGCTGATGTAAAAAGCAAGCCAAAAATTGAGACGTCAGGCAGACAAGGACGTGGCAGGACAGCCCGACAGCCTGACAGCCAGACAGGCCACGGCTACGGCAAGTCTCAGCGGCAAGTCTCAAAGCCAGCAGCAGCAGCAGCAGCTTCAGCTTCCAATGCCAAATGGCAAATGCATTGCGCCCTTTTTTCATCCCTGCTCGCCGTTCGTTTGAACCTTTGGCTTGTTTAATATGCTGAAAAATACGCGTCTCGACTTCCCGGATTCTTGCACTGCGCTTTTTGCGCCCGAATTCCTTGCACAGGCATTCTCAATGGCTGGAGGACTTCTGCACTTCTTCTGCACCGTTTCCCTTTGACACATGTAAGTAAAATGTCGGCTCA